TATTTTACTTGTAAAGACTCATATTTCAATAATCAGTCATTAAACTTCAGCAGAACAAACTTTATTCTCCAAATCTTGTACAAAATTATAAGGATTTTCAGGAATACGATTCGATAGCTGTTTATGAAATGTAGCTTTTACGCAAATGGAGCTATAAAAATCGATTCAAACTTAAACTTGCTACGAAAGAAAGGTATAATGATGTTATCAAGTAGGATCATTTTTGAGATTTGCTCTTATAAAAGTAGAAAAAATAAAACTAAAACCTTTGTTGTTTTCCAACACTTCGTCCGCCATCTTGTTCCTCTTCGTATTTTCTGCCTTCTGATTGGTTAAATTATTCTACAATAAGAATAGTAGCCGCTGTACTCAGCTTGGGAGGTATCGCGCTAAAATGCAAATTACCAAATCATTACGTAATCTTCAAAATGGCGCCTAAAATAATTTATTCAAAGCGTAGCTGGAAAATCGGCTGCGGAGAACAAGAAATTCGATGAAATAAATCCCTGTTATATGCTTAATTCTTTCCTATATGCCCGGGCATTATGGGGCCAACTCGAAACCTTGGCATTGATCCGTTATTTCGTTCGAAAATTATTGTAAACTCGAGAAATTGCAATAAAAACAACATAAAGCGTCCTTATTTTCGCCCGAAGTAAAAGTCCTCAACTTTCTAGTTGGATATGGTTTAATTCAAAGAATTTAATTGAGTTATACTTTTCTCCCGAACTCTCAACCTGTACTTCTCGACATCGCTCCATTTTTAATTTTCTACTAGATAAATAAAAAGCTTAAAACAAAAAATATATCACGACGCTGGTCTTAAATATTAATATTAACTACTGCCAAAGTTTCATGGTAAAATATGCTATAGCTGATTTTCTATGATTTTTTATTTTTATTTTTTGGTATTTTCGTTGATTTGGCCCTATGACCCAGGCCTTAACATACTCGAGTACGCTTCTTAGTAAATTTATGACCCAGGCCTTAACATACTCGAGGACAAAATGTCAGGATTGATAAATCCAATATTACACGAAAAATTACTTGTGCATAAGCAAAAAAATTTCAATAACTTAAATATATTTTTTCAAATCATGTTAACCAATGAATGTATGTGTTTATATAACAATAAAAGACATTGAAATACAGTTTTAGTTGAGACATAGGAATTTTATTAGAAATTTTATGGGATTTTGTTTTGAATGTTACAAGTAAGCTTCCAACTTACACTATTTTTGCTTCCCTCCAACTGTCGTATTCTTCTTCTTAAATAATGATTATCTTTTTGGGCTTTTCTGATTGCCTTCGTCCTTTTTTCGCGCTGAAAACACTGCGAATGTAGCGACAGTTCAGTCTGAGTGCCAGTCACCGTCTTGTTATTGTCGCACATCGACTTATTGATCTCCGTAACTAGTGTCGCCACGTTTATCATTTCCTGATCTATTTCAGGTTCATTTTCTTCAGTCATGTCTTCCTCAGTCGTGTCTTTGGCTTGCAAAGCCTCTTTCACAATCTGAGGACATAAAAGGGTGCAATGCTTATGAGAAAAATAAGCTTTAATATTTCAGGATCTACATTCAAATGAAGCACATGGTCTATCGGACCTTCTTTTTATCACGACGCGTCATGGTTTCTTCCGAGTTTACATTTACAATATTTGCTGTGTCCAATGTTGGCACTGCTCCTTTATTTAGACGTCGTTTAGAAGACATTTCTGCTTGATTATCAGTCAGAAGGTCTAGCCTTCGACTGAAACTACCCGTAGTGAAGTGGCTTGAGCACAACACTGAGGTTTTAGAAGGCCGAAACTCCGGTCTGTGTCTTTGGACGAATTTCGTCCATTTCCACCGAACTTTTTCATCTGTTGGGAAAGTGTGCATACTAATACCATTCACTGAGCTACTGTTGGTGCAGCTAACATTTCCTGGCCCTCCAGCAACACAAAACTTGCCAGAAACWTGTCGTTTACGATGACTTGACTCCATGTTTTCTTCTTCTCTTATATATCGGAACACAACTAATGACGTCACAGCGATTGTTTTGGCCGCGCGAAAATTGTCGCAACATTTTCTGTCCAAATACACATATTCAACATCGGGAAAAAAATACTTCTCGCGTAAAATTCTCCGACAAATTTTCAAAATCAAGTCAAAAACTCAAAACCTTTTGAAAAATGCATTAAAAAAGGGGGGTTAATTTTGGTTTCATATGCTATTTAACTCATTTGTGGAGGTAAATTGAGGTTGTAATCTATTATTATTGTAAAATAGTCAAAAGAGCCTCCAAAACAGTCGTGTTTTTAAGTAAAATTGGAAAATAGACCATTTTAGCCAAAGTAAGTGGACCATGGCCGTAATTACAGAGGAGACTGGATCGAGTGACATGTGACGTCACCACAGGCCAACACAACCACAGACTAAGGACGGTGTGAGATGGTTGTTTGTAGGCAGTGTTTGTTGGTGATCTGGAGACGTTGCAAGTATGGAAACGTTTTGTCGTTCGTCATGTTGTCGGTGGAAGAACTGTTGGGCTAGAGCTTTCCTGGCAGATATTTCCGCGTTCCTCGTTTTTTTGGGTCTTTTTTTAGTGGCTTATTTGGTCACTTCACTTTCTTTTGCTACTTTCGTCTGAGTTGCCTTTTTTTTCAATAGCGGGATTGCAGTTTCTTCCTCACTTTTCAAATTTTGCGCCTTCTCTGTTTTTTTTTTCTTTTTCCATTAACGCGGTCAGAAATGGCAGCCACTTGCTCTGGAGGGCACCACAGCGCAACTCTAGCTCTTCGTTATTTTCTGTTGGTTAATTAAGAATTAACAATGGATATATATAGTAATTTTAAAAATCATAAATGATATGAACCTCCCTCCCATTTTGATCAACATAAGCAACTCAAAGTTTTAGAACTAAATTACTGAACTTCTTTGCATATTCGTCACATAAAAATTATTGATCATTCCAAACAAATATATCAGCATGTAGCTTCGTAACAAGACTTTCCTCCAGATGTTATAAGATAAAATAACATCACCATATTGTTGATGTTCATTGTAGTGTATAATGTCTGTCAACAATTGTGCGGTGTGCCTTTTGAGAGGTAAACGATATCCCGCATTAACCAAGTTTGTAATTTATGCAAGCTTTGATCTAAATACTTGATCATTTTATTATAAACTCGAAGAAAGAAAGAATTAATGCGGGCAGAAATGGCAGACATTAGCTCTGCGAGGGCAGCACAGCGCAAATTCTAGCTCTTCATTATTTTCTGTTGGTAAATTTAGAAGTAACAACCAACAACGGTTTTTCAGCCATTTTTTGAGTCGTTTAAAAACAAATGTGATGAAAACTTACTCCAGGGACTTGCTTCATATATTTTCACTCTCCACTGCCACTGCTACTTCTTATACTTTTGACTGCTTGGATACTGAGATTGGAAGTTGTCCATTGTCTATCAAGTGACCCGTAGCTTAACTGTTTATGAACACTTTTAAGATTGCTACCCAAGACGCATCTTTCTTGGAGTACTTCGAAGATCATAGGTCATGGATTTCGTCATGTTGGATGCCCATGGCCAATTGTGTCTTGTGTTTCCCCAGCCAAGAGAGAAACTCTTCATTATTCAGGTTGCTTGTG